AGAAATGTGGGTTGTAGTTATTAGAAAATGTTCTATTAATGAAGCAAAGAAATCAGGGAGTTTAGGTTATTAGAATTTTGGGGGTTATAGTTATTTGACTTATTTCTAAGTATTAATGCAACCAAGAAATGAGGGGTTTTGGTTATTGGAATTTAGAACTTGCGTATATTCCAACGTGTAAAGTTATCTAAATTTGTAATTCATTTAATGCATAAAGATGAATATGTGTTACTTCGTGAAAACATTAATGTCTTTCTAATTCACCATCCTTTACTATGATGTGTAAGTTATGAAAATGAAAATGTAATGACCCGGACCCGAAAGGTCATTTTTGATAATTTTGAATGGTCACTTAACTATAGTTAATTAATTTGCGGGTGATTTGTTTATTGTTAAAAATAATGGGCCAAGCCTGAAATATTAAAATAGGTTAGTAGAAAATTATTATTGTTAATACATAGTTAATTTAGAAAAAAAGAAAAGAAAAAGAGAAGGAGCAGAAAACTAACCTGCGTGCGGCGTGAACACGGATCAACAGAGGGCACTGCTTCACGTAAGGAAAATTCAACTGATGCTTTCAAATTCTGCCTGCATTAATTGCTTTGCTATCCTTTCATTAATTGTTGCACCTATATATAAATATATAATAATATTATATATCAATTTGGTTATATACAGAACGATAATTAGTGGTTGCCATTTTGGCTCTTAAAATCTAAACAACAAATTTATTTACGGGTTGTAAATTTTGATAATTTTAGCATAAGTTGTGATTGGGTACTGATTAATAATTATGGGATAATGTTTGGAATACGGATGACTGGTGGTTTCGGTTAGCGACTTAAGCTATGGGTTCGTCACTAATTTTAGGGTTCTTTTAGCTCATAAATCAAGTTTTAATAATATTGGTATTTGATTGTAGATTTGAGTGATGTTTTTGGGTCTAGGCTAGACCTATAGTAATCTGAGTGTGGTTAGTTTCGAAATCTTATTGTAATTATTAATGTGAATAGATTGCTTTGAGTTGGAAGTTCAACGAAAGGAAAGACTCGAGTCTTGGAGTGATTGTTCGACTATTTGAGGCAAGTGGATTTCTAAACCCTTGTTAAGTGTATGGAATTCATGTATTTCCTTGTAATATGTGTTTAGGGTAATGAGACTTGGTGATGGGTTGACTTGTCCACATTGATTAATTCTAATGATGAAAAAGGGATAATAAAAGGCAATGTGATCAATTCTAATGATGAAAAAGGGATAATAAAAGGCAATGTGATCAATTGTTTGTGTGATGTGTTGAGAATTGTTTGAAAGGCTTGTTGAATCATTGTTGATGTTGTATCCTGATTGTCTTGTTGTGAATTGTGTAATGTTATGAAAATGGTCATCTCATCATTATTTGTGTGAACATGTCATTTGTATTGTTCTAAGACATAGTTGTGACAAGTGTTATGTGCATTGAGAAAGAATAAGAAAATAAAGAGGATGTACCATTTCGAGGGACGTATCGCGCGCCACGATGATACTATATTTCGAGGGATGTGTCGCGCGCCGCGACGGATACTATATTTCGAGGGACGTATCGCGTGCCGCAATGGTTACTATTATCGAGGGTCGTATCACGCGCCGCGATGGATGCATGGACAGATATGTCCCCCATGGGTCCCGGACTGAGAGACAGCGGGTGTGTATCATTAGGTCAGACATGCATCACTATACTTGACATTGCATTGCACTTCTTTACTATTGGTGAACTTGATCTTGTGTGTTGTTGATCTTGTGAGTGCCTTTCTATGGAACTTGTGACTGATGAATATTGAGCTTGTTGTTGAAGATATATAATTGTTAGAGTGTTGTTGTTGAGGATATGAAACTATTGTTGTTGTTGAGGATATGAAATTGTTAGAGTGTTGTGTTGAGCTATGTGCTTTGTAAATTGTGAACTGTTAGGTTGGGCTGGTTTTATACAGATTGTAGTTGTGAAGGTTCGATTGGGGTGTAAGGAGTACTTGTATTCTATCCCCTTAGCTCGTGTTTAGAGGTTTACTTGTTGAGTACCGTGTGGTTTGGTACTCACCCCTTGCTTCTACAACTTTTTGTAGGTTACGAGCCTGGATTTTTGTGGTACTTGTTATTCTCTTCTTTTCTGAGGCTTCTGGGAGATTTGTGAGGTAGTTGTTTGTCTTCTCAGCGATCCTTCTTACTCCAGTTTATGATCTTGTTCTACTCTAGAAACAATGTCATATGAGACTTGTGTTTTCTTTTGAATCAATTGTAATACTTTAGAGGCTTGTACACGTGACAACCAGATTTTGGGGGTATTTTTGAGTTGATTATAAAATTTCCGCATTTTATTGTAATGGTTGAGTTTTAGGCTGACTTGTCTTGGTGGGATAAGGCGAGTGTCATCACGTCCATTTTTGGGTCGTGACAGAAAATGTGTGAATTATGGAGTTAATCTTTTAAATAAAGTAATTAGAAATAAGAAATATTTTTAAGTAGATTATTAAATGTCTAATATATATATATATATTATGTTAAGTAATTGAAGGAGAAAAATAAAAATAAGTACAATTTTTTTTTGAAAAAAAGTAACTAATTTATTTTTTAGAAGGATAAAAATATCTAACAATTTTCTATGAATATTTTTCTTCTTTGAATTTTTTACTTAACACCTTTCCACTTTTAGAATTTAGTATAATATAATAATAATATTATATAATTACTATTTAGTATTTAATTGATTAGCTATTTTATAATATTTTTATTTACTGTAGGGATAAAATAGTATTTCAACTTTTAACTTTTTTTATTCCATATATATATGATTCTTTTTATTTTAATTACCAAAAGAGAAAAATATTGTTATCATCAAATACGTGGTAACAACACAAATTTATCATAACATATAAATAATTAAATAATAAAATGACAAATTTATGAAGATTCACTAACAAATGAGTCAATAGTGCATATATCAATTAATCAAAAGATTAAATATTACACTTACTCAAATATCATGAGAACCAAAATCATAACTTTATTAGTAACTAAAGAAAAGAATAGTAGTTATTAACCTTTTTAAAATGTGCCACTTTCTTTGTTATAAAATACTTAATTAAAATAAAATAAAATATAGACACACTAAACTTTGCTACTACTTGCTATTGTTGAAGAGCCTCCACAAATAATGTCAAAACTTTTAGCCATCACTTATGAATTATCTTTCTTTATTAGTCATTTAGTCAAATTCTTACTACAAAAGTCCAATTAAAGAACTTACAACCTTAAAAAATCCTAAAAATTACGGTGCACTGGTGAGACTATTTCATCTTTAATCAGAGGTTTCGAGTTCGAATTTTAGGTATGGAGAAAATCTGCATCACCCTCGAAAAGGGTCATGCTTGATCCTAATTTAGTCGGCGCTCTAAGGTAGATTCCAAACACCAGGTGGAAAACCTATAAAAAATAAATTCTTGCAATTTATACAAAACCCCTGCAAGATATTTTTTTCGTTGCACCAAATAATTGTTTGCTTCAATTATCGTATTATATATTATTGGTACTATTTTTTCGTTATGTTCAACATGATTGCTTCTATATTGTATTTCCTTTTCCATTTACTTGATTTTATTGTCATTTACGTAAGCAATTATTTATTCGAAACAATCTTTTTATCATTATGAGATAAAAATAAAGCTACATATACACCACCCTCTCTGAATTCCGAACCCTGATATGTTGCTATTGCACCAAATAATAAGTCTATCATCTAATTAATTATTTTGTTTTAGAAAAGAAAAACACAGCCAGCCAGCAACAAAAACGTGATATTGTCACTCAAATAATGTTATTTTTTTCCATTTCAAGTGCAGGCTAACGGTCATGTCACATATATCAAGGTTTCGGATCCGAGTTTGAAATCGTCTTTAATAGAAATTCTTTCTTATAAAAAAAAAGGATTTTCCGATGCACATGTCTTTAATAGGAAGCATTATTCTTCTTAAAATATAATTTTTCGATATTAATTTTAATTAATCAAACTCCAAAATAGATACCAAACATCAATCGTAAACCAATATTTTATGTTCTTTTGAATTAAGAGCATCTTAAACCTGCGGCAAATCATAATTGTTTTTTTTTTTTAAAATTTCAAGTGCAGGCTATCGTTGTTATCATAAATATCAATGTTTTGGATTCGAGTCTAAATCGTCTTTAATAGAAAGTATTTTACGAACTTTTCAACCTAAATGTCTTTAATAGAAATCATTTTATTTCTTAAAATAGGACTTTTCAATGCGTATATCTTTAATTGGAAGCATTAATAGGATTTTTTGATATGAATTTGAATTAGTTAGACTCCAAAATGAATATCAAACATGTAAAACTAATATTTATTTTATTTTGAATTAAGAGCATCTTAAAGCTGCAGCAAATCATAGAAAAGAAAAACAAAAAACAAGCAAGCAATTAGCAACCTCATATGACCATATCATATATATTATTATTATATAATATCCACTGAAGTTGCAGATAAATAATTAAATAATTTTCAATAGCCATCACTTATTTTTTTATTACCCTATTATTAAGTAGTTTTCATGATTTATGTGTTATTGTGTTTGTCTTTTGGGCAAACAGCAGTCCATCCTTGACTGATTGTTGAACTTCTTAATTTTATTATTATTTGGTACTTCAGATTCGCACCGCATAAAGCCCATTCGGGAAAAACGCTCCCAAACAACTGTGGAAATAAAATTTTATATACAATCAATATAACAAGACCTTTCCTTACATATTTTTTCCGCTTGCTTTGTAGTACGAGCATCATACAGAGTCGTGCTCCTTTAATATGATGAGAAGGAGGTCGTTAATATATAAGAAATGATTTTCATTACTTTACAAACTTGCTTTTAGTTGTACATATATGTTTTACAAGAAATCTTCATTTTTACAGATGAGAGATCTGAAAAAGTTATTTTCTTCTGTTCAATTCGTAAATGTGACATAAGAAATCATTTCCTCTATTGAATGTAGGACATTAGTACATAATTTCAACATTATTCTGTCCATGTAATACAATGCTAGAGTTCATACACTGACTGGAAGAGGGTGCTATTCGACTCAATCGCCCCTGCAACTGAGGTCACGTTCAATCACATACCCCCACATCTTATCGCGTTTTACTCCATCCCATAGACATCAATCTCTGCTCATATTCCATGGATTGTCTTTGGATAAGATTGTTGATCGTAGTAATCACAGACACTTGATGAGGGACCTACAATAAGCACAATCATCTAGTATTTATGATTACTATGATAAACAATCTTACCCAAAAACAGTCTCATGGAATATGAGCAGAGATTGTTGCTTATGGGATGGAGTTAAATGCGATGAGACGTCGGGCCAAGTGATTGAACTTGACATCAGTTGTAGCCTGTGGGGATGATGATGGGTTCCAATAGCACCCTCTTCGAGCTCTCTCATCTTCAAAGGCTCGACCTTTCTTGGAATAACTTACCCAATTCTCACACCTCGGACGATAGATGACTTCAACTGTATTCTAATAAGAAGTGTGGTTGGAAGAGGGTGATATTCGACTCAATCGTCCCTGCAACTGAGGTCACGTTCAATCACATGCCCCAACGTCTTATCACATTCACTCCATCCCATAGACACCAATCTTGGCTCATATTCCATGAATTGTCTTTGGATAAGATTCATGACCGTAGTAATCACAAACACTCGATGAGGGACCTACCGTAAGCATTCTCTTGAATTTTAGAAGGGAAATGCTTTGATCAGAAATTTCTGTCCAAAAGAGCACCATCATCTAGTATTTGTGAATACTATGGTAAAAAATCTTATCCAAAAACCCTTTCATGGAATATGAGTAGAGATTACTGCTTATGGGATGGAGTTAAATGTGACAAGACGTCGGGCCAAGTGATCGAACTTGACATCAGTTGTAGCTAGTGGGGACGATGATTGATTGCAAAAGCACCCTCTTCCAGCTCTCTCATCTCCAAAGGCTCGACCTTTCTTGAAATAACTTATTCAATTCTCACATCTCGGACTATAGATGACTTTAACCGTATTCTACTAAGAAATGTGGCACTTGCTGATCATGAGTCAATCAACAAATTATGCCTTCGGCTTTGCTAGAACTGCAGTTTGTTAACTCACACATCGTAGGCTAGAGTCCACGTAATCTGTGTGATATACAGATCTATTTGCCGCCTTCGCGACAAGAATTTCCTAAAAAAGACATGACCACATGAGCCAAAACTTAGTTAGAGATGGTACAAATAAAGAGGAAAACAATTTACAAAAAGATAATGGATATAGAAAATTATATACAGTTCATGTGGGTTTGTGTGCAGTATGTCAATATAAGATTGTAAACCGAAAAGATCAATAGAGGCATGATAAATATACATCAAAAGCTTTACAGCTCTCGAGACATGTTGGTTTAAGTCTTAGCTCCAACGTCTATATGTCAATTAAGGAAATAAGAAACTACTCATCCAAGATGAAGTTGGTCCTTTATGATGAGCGTTTTTAGTGTAGAATTACTAGTGAGCTGAAAATAGTGGCGAGTTCTTTGCATGGGATAGCAATTTGACACTAGAAATTTGAAATATTTGGCTTATACTGTATATCTCATTTGATGACTGATGAATAAAAATGAAATTACTGATACATGTACAAATGGTTGTTGGCCATTTAGCTGAAGCGAGCTAGCTACTTAACAAAGCACTTAACAGCATTAAAAACATTGCCAGGGGCTAGAGTAGCTAATGAGTCAAAGTAAAGAGCATAAGGTTAGAGGGCAGACCGTAATGTCAAAATTTTGAAGCCTTCCCCTGCGAATCTTCGATGATGCACTATGTATATCTATGTTCTGTATGACGATAAAACTGTTATCTCTGATTTCGACCTTTGTCCTTGAGAATCTGTGTACCAACTACAATCATCAATCCTTGAACAGGCCTTCCCGAGACCTCATAGTTCTAAATTTCTGCTGGTGTATCAACCTCAAATACAATCTAAGTGATCTGCTTCTGGATGTTGTAACATTTAACAGTTCCAACCAGAGCTAGTGATTCAATTATGGCCTGCAGAAGTTGCTCGGGGAAATCTTCAACACGAGCAAGTCCGTGATGACTTTGCACAGAACTCAAAACTCTACCGACGATCTGAAGGAGGAATAATGAGATGAAATTATGATACTGCTATAGTATTTAGCTTATGCAGTTGATAGGATAGACTAGAGTAATTTCCATGATTGGCAATAAGGACCTACCTTTCGTGCATAGCCACCAAACGCCACACCAGCAATCAAAGCATTTGGTGAATGTAAGGTGCTCGAATTTTTCTCATTTCTTGAAGCCTCTAAATGAATGTGTGGATTGTGTCAAAACTTCAGTGCTATATGGAATATGAACTTAATAAAGTGGGGACTGTGGAGTTAATACGAGATTTCTTGAGTTAATACCGTGTATGGTCGTTGTTTGGAATAAATTCTCTTTTTTCAACCCCTCCACTGTGTGACAATTGGTACCACCAGCCAGTTGAAGGAAGCCTGTGACATAGGAAGAATCTTCAAATTGCACTAGCGAGTAGTTCATAGAAAAAGACACCAATGAGTCGTATCATGTCATTTATCAGAAGAATTTTTTATGTGCAAACCTTTAGGCTTGTCACCAGCAGAGGCCAACTTTCGTGCAAAAGCAATTGCATCTCTCGTGGCACCTCGCCCAATATCTCCACTCATTGGTCGACCATCCAACTTCAATTACAATCATTAGTAGAAATGATGAGAATATATTCCGAGCGTTCTAGCTTCTAAATCAAAATTAGCGATAGGACAAATGATCTGCACCTGCCATAAGTTGATGCAGTATATGCTGGATTCCATTATAGAGTACATAGCATTCATTGCAGATATGGTTGAATCTCTCAAGTCTGGAAAACTAACCTGCACGAAACCATGATAAAAACAATTTTTTTAACTTAAATTCTTGAAATGGAATAAGTTGTTTGAACTTGCTAGATGATACTCCCTCCCTTACAATTTCTTTGTATGGGTTTGACTTGACACAAAGTTTAAGAAAATAAAAAAGACTTTTGAATCATGTGACCTTAAACTAAAGATATGTAAAATGCACCAAAATTCCCTTGAATCTCGTGGTTTTACACATGTCACGTGGAAAGTTAAAATTAAAGAGTTATCTAGAAAGGAAAGAGACATTCTTTTTCAATGGACTAAAAAGACAAGTAGTACAAACAAATTAAACCGAAGGGAGTAGTATTTAATGTCACCAATAGATATCGAAAAAAGAGTAACAGCTTCACATACTGCCACGAGCTTCAGATTTGCAGTTGAGTTCCCCAACCCAGTCCAGAGTTCTTTAAAAACTGAAGGTTCCCTATTCCAAAAATGAGAATGCAGATAAGATACACTTTTTAGCAACAAATTGATGTTACTCTGATAATGTGGCAAAGAACCATTTGTACATTTTGTTTGTGATTTTTGTTGTTACAGAATAAGTAGAACCAAAATCAGATTGTATTGCAGAAATATACATTGAGTAAGCATTCTATTCTATGGCTAAGTTTGTGTCTCAATTCAATAAGAAGTGAAAATTCACACTTGAATGATTTCGGGGAATATATTAACCGAAAAGAAAATTATGCTAACCTTCCACTGGTATGAATTTCTATGGCATCAACATCATCCCTTTCAAGAAGTTCAGCTGTAGCTATAACATCTCTCACATACGTAATAGCTCCTGAATCAACAAAATATATCTTCATGAATTCAATTTGCAGGATAACAACAGTGCTAACGTAAAAGGGCACGGAGGAAGTGAAAATAGACAGGCAGCGGTGAACTCACTTATTTTGTCATATGGACAAACCGGAAGGCAGCGACCACAACCATAACAGCGCTCAGCCAAAACTCCTCCCTGCAATAGTTACAGATGTAGCCTTTAGAAATGAACACGAATAAGCTTTAAAAGAATATAGCAGGTTAAACAGCTGTAGAATAAATCAAGGGAAATCAAAATGAAGAGAACCTTTTGCAATATTGCATTAGCAGGACAGACTTTCTCACAAGGTCTCAAGCAATCCTGGGGGCAATCATCCGGATCAAATTCTGCAACATATCATACACAACTGGAGTATTACGCCCACATATCTTACTTAGGAATACTTTCCATGAGTAATTTCATTCATGGTAAAAAACTATCTCGGGTCTTTGATCTAATTTTCCAAGTACCCTTCATTTTCAGAAGGGTGACCATCTGCTCATTTCAGGAGATTGACAAATGATAGAATCCAATGAAAATGACGATCCATTAGAAACTACTCTGTATGATAAACTAGAGTTCTTTGAGCTTAATTCTTATGATGGTCAGTCGTGCAATGTTTGGTAAAGTAAGATCCAATAATACTATAAAACTCATTGCAAAAAAGACCAATATTAGAAAGGCTGAATACGGATGACAAAGCTCTTAAAACAAGAATAATCAAAGCCGAAAATACATAATGAAGTTGGCATTTCATAGTTTCTAATGCTTCAGAAGATTAGGCACTCCAATCAGAAGCCTACTTTTTTTGATAACGAAGAAATCCCCCGACCAGTGCATGGTTCAAACCTTGGTGGATCACGGGCTAGCTCATCTACCCTTCTCCACTTAAATACCATATTTTTTACTGGCAAGTTTTTGTCCACAGCAGGGTTGAAATCATACTTATATTAAAAGAAAGCAAGAAACTTTTACCCCTACATCACGTAACCAAGATTATGAGAATCAGAAAGGATGAATATGCTGGTTGAACTCAAGGTGTGGGGGGAGTTACCAGCTTTACGGAAATGAAGATCTTCATCATCATTAACACTGATCATTACCCAAGGCCTGCGTATGGGCACAAGGGCTCTGGCTGCTTCTATCCCTTCATTTACAGCATTCACCACTGACGCCTCAGCAGCGCAGTCAATGCAATCAACTACAATCAACACACAAACTTATCAACCCGATGCAAGGAATAATAGTACCAAAATTATAAGAGACAGTTGATGATTCAATTCTCACCTCCAGCAAGAGTATAAACCAGAGAAAGGTTCCTGATATCAACCAAATCCTACAAAAACCAAGAAAGATAAAATTTGCTCAAATCTGTTAACATGTCTGTGCATTTTGTATAATTGTCACACTTAGTTTGTACTAGCTTCGGGATTCGACTACACATGGAGTATAAGATGTTTATTCTGATTATACAAAATTTTGAAACATCATATGAATTGGAACACCAAGTAGTTTATTCTGGTTATACATTTGTGTCAGTCCTTAAACAAAAGAACATCATATGAAGTTATACAAAAAAAGTTCATCTGCAGAAAAGTGTAAAGGTGGAGTCTTTATAGTGAATAAGGGTTAATAAGTGAAGACCTCAAAGCTAGCACCACAAATGAGCTTGACCCAATTTCCCTGCTGAAGAGATTCAACAGGGGAACTACTAACAGAAGGAATCACTGTCTTCTTTATGATGCTCTTCACTTTTTCAACCCCATTGTAGTTGCTGTAATTAAGTGGATCTGGTAATAAAGAAACCAAAAAAATTCAAGAAAATTGAAAACTTACAAAAAGATTAATAATTATCAAAACCCCATAAATCCAAATTGATGGAATAGATAGAGAGTACCTTGCAATTTGGTGCCAAGTGAAGCATAACAAGGAATGCTCATAGCCATCTTGTTAAAAGGAGCTACTTTTGGAGATAAATAGTAGGTGGAGAAGATTGATTGTTATCTAAAAAGAATCTTAAGTTTTTGAAACTACATCATCACCCCCTATAATTGTTTGAAAATGTTCAAGCACATCCTCATATTTGTGATTTGTCTTATATTTATCTATCTGACTATTTGTATAGAGTTGATCAGTCAAAAACTCACACATTCAACAAGTGTTTGGGTAGATGTGCGAATCTATATTGGGAGAGACAATATTATGAATGAAGTTATTTGGAACAAGGTAAGAGTGACCTTCGTGGTGAACAAGATGTATGGAAGCGAGATGAGATATTTTGGGCATGTGAAGAGAAAGAGAACATAGGCCCATAGGCCCCTAATGAAAAAATGCGAGAGATCTAGGATGATAGGTCTAAGAAGATGTATGTATATCAAGAAATAAATGAGGAGAGATCATTAAACATGACATGAATTGGACAGTTGAGAGTCAAGAATTAGTGTAAAAGATTAACAGTAGTTGAACATTTTCTCGCTGCTATGTGGGAGAGCTTAGTTCTAGTTTAGAACATTTTATTTGTTTTCTCTTCTCCTTACTTGTCTCACTATAGTGTTATTATTATCATATTCCTTAATTTCATTTATTTATGTTGTTCTCTTTATTATTTTGTCGTCATTACTTTTCTCTTCTTTGATATTTTCATCATAGCTCTATTCCTAAAGCAGTCAAATTTGTTCTAGATGGAAATGCTTTTTCTGAGTTGAGGATCTTACCAAAAATAACTTCTCTACCTCTCTCAAAACATGGATTAGGTATATTCGCATTAAATATATTATTGTTATTATTCTTTAAATAGACTATTCATAACGTTCAAAACTTAGTTTATGTATAATCGCTTCAAAGAACGAACACATAATTTTTCTCAATTGGTGAAAAACCGACAAACATCATAGTAACAAACCTTTCCATTGATATGAGCTCTCGAGGAAAATCATCATGTTAGTCTTTTCTTAATATGTTTTTTTTTTGTTTTTTTTATGGAAAAGGGTCAAAATTGCCCCTGAACTATGTGATATAGACCACTTATACCCTCTGTTACATTTTGAGCTCAAAAATACCCTCACTCTTATCTCTAGAGACCACAAATACCCCTCAAAAGTTAACAATCCAAATTTTTAATGACATGGCAAGCCATGTGTGACTGATCCTTCCACCTAAGCTGCCAACTAGGATTACCACTACCTTTTTTTTTAAAATCTAAATCTCCTAAAATTGTATTAATCCAACAAAAAAAACAAGAACAAAGTTAATATTATCGGGCCGTAAATTTTCCCTCATACATACAAAAGATACAAGTATGTTATACAAAAAATCATCCTATCAAGTTAGATATATTATATATTAGTTATTTATCAAGTGGAAATATACTTGGTTAATAGTTAAACTACGATGAAAAAATAACTTTTAACGGCAATAAATATAAATATTAATAAAGAGTGGTAAATATTTACGTAATTAAAAATAAAAGGTTTTTAATTAAAAATATAAATACTTTTTATGTAATTAAAAATAAAAGATTTATTTCTAATTTTAGAAGGATTTCTAATTGTTGGAAATCCTAGTTGGCAGCTTAGGTGGCGAGATCAGTCCACATGGCTTGCCATGTCATTAACAATTTGGATTTTACCTTTTGAGGGATATTTGTGGTCTCTAGGGATAACATTGGGGGTATTTTTGATCTCAAAATGTAACAGAGGGTATAAGTGGTCTATTTCGCATAGTTCAGGAGCAATTTTAACTCTTTTCCTTTTTTTTTATAATAGAATATTTTATTACTTTAAAGAACATTTCTTAACACAAGAAAATAACACATTTTTCTTAAAATTCTTTTTTTTGGTCACACCTAACACACCCAAATAACAATTTTTACAGTTTCACCCACAAACTTTGCATTAATTTCCAAATAGTACATCTTTAGGGTTTAAGAAACTCATGATTATCTCTAAAACCCTGAGCTCACTCACTTCCTGTGTACACTCCAAAATGGTGAACGTCGCCGGCGACGACAACGATGATTTCGGCGATCTCTACGCCGACGTTGAAGTTCAAGCAAGTTCAGCAATCAATGCTCTACAGAGTTCAACGAAGGTTCAAACGGAAGTTAATGAGGTTAACGACAATGCTGCTGACGGAAACTGTAATCGTGAAAATGCTGTAAGAGGAGAAGAGGAATGTGAGAGCGAGAGTGGTGATGACTTGAACATACTGTTGAATGATGATGAAGGTGATGATGATTTTCTCAATGCTGGATGTGATGAAGATGAAATTGAGGGAAATGGAGGTTTTAGTGTTAGTGATAAAGGAAATGGTTTAGGACAGAATTCAAATGGCAGTGGAAGTGGCAATGGAGAGAAAAACAGTTACAAGGTAGCATTATAGACTGTGAAATTAGTGAAAAAGAGTAGTGTTAATTTGAACTTGTTTGAAATTGTTTTCGTGTTGCTTAGTTGTTGAACCTGATTACTGATTAGAGGAGTTGCTTTGATTATTGAATGCTTATATTGGTTTGATTTTATGTATAAAACAGGGGAGGTTAGTGTAAAGCTGATTATGAGGTTTGTATATTTTAATATTCCTGCCATTTACTATGGTCGAAGACTCTTATTTGGCAGCAATTAAGTTTTTCTTGCTTGAAAAACTGAATATTTGGTAAATGTATACTCTCTTCAGTTTATTTTCTTGCAATGCACCTACCTCCACTTGCTGCAACTTGGGGATTTTACTGGAAATGCCTTTAGGTGTTTTCTTTGCGATTATCTATTTTTGAATTCTTCAAGTGTGAAAATTATCATGATGATTGATGATAGACTTCATCAGCGTTTACATGAATTAATGCAGTTAAGCTTTCATGGATTAGTCAAGGTGCTGGCCTGAATGCCACCTATATGGAAAGAAAATGGATTAATACTGTTCTGTACTTCTGTTACTTCATAGTGTTTCATTCTCCGAATTATGATTTCGCCCCCTCTTTTATGTAGAACACAAGACCACCACAAGCAGCATATTCAAGTCATCTCAAAGCCAATAGATCTTCTTGTTCGCCTTCTTACTCTACAGCATTTGTCAAGGGCAAATGGGAGGATAATAGCTACACACAAAGGGCGGGCTCAGGCTTTGCTGTTCAAAATGGACAGAGCTTCTCACTTCCTCGGTCGAGGTTAATATGTTTTGTCAAACTTTGCTTGTATTCTAATCTTTGGTTAATGCTTTGTTGTGTTTCCATTTTTATAGAAAAACAGTTCAACATACTGTTAAAAGAAAATTATCTACATTTGAAACAACTGGTTCCACTTTTTCTGGTGCATATTTGCTTATTGGAGATAGTGTTGGTCATCTCATCAAAGAACTGTTATGAAATAGGTTTACCAGATAAAGTTGTTCAATATTCTTTTGTAGCCTTAATCTTTTCATATTTCATAGATATGTAATTGATCCATAATTTTTCAGGAATATATTGGACGTGAATATTGATATGTTTGAGAAGAAACCTTGGCGGTATCCAGGCACTGACTTGACAGATTATTTTAATTTTGGCTTTGATGAAGATAGTTGGAAACAGTATTGCAACTGCCTGGTAATGAATGCATATAAATTTGTCTGTTTCTGATATGTATTAGAGTATATAGTTTTTCCTTTTATCATTTCTTGTTATCTTTCTTTTTGTATTTCTTCCAACTTTCTAGAATGTATTGTGACAAAGTTGTTTCTACTATTTTTACTGCATGTCTTACATGTTTGTCATTGGCCGTGACTTTTGAAATAGGATGAGCACCGAGATCAAGCAAAAAAGATAGTCAAAGATTCAGACTACAAGACTTCGAAAATTAGTAAGGTAGGTATCTCTGGATGATTGTCAAGTTTTACTATTCCTTAAACAATAGGTGAAGCCTTAGCTTATAAAAAAAGAAGAAAAAGAAACAATTGGTGAGCTTAGTGTATCAAATGGGTTGTGAAAGCTGAGGGTGACCATGTTTCTGTTCAAATCATGCTGAAGATGACATTTAAAAAAAATGTAGATGTCTTCGTTACCTAACAGTTCTTAAATGCTATCTGAAATTGAACTGTTAATGGTGTTTATGGTATAAACTTGCCAATGTTCAGCCAAAAGGTAGAGAAATAGAGGTGGAAGAGAGCATGATTGAGCGCCGACCATCAGCAGATGTGGGACGTCCACAGTATCGGGATTCTGGTGTCGTCATACAGGTATCAAAATTTTTAATTCTTCCCTTTTCTTGACCATCTAATTGCTGTGTGCTCACAGGCTTGTGCTGGCACCAGATTGCTTTGCAGCAGTCAATGGAAGATCCCATAAGTTCTACAAAAGAGCAGCGGGAAGCATCTGAGAATGGAGATGTTGGGGGAGATAGAAAGGAGTTTCTCTGTTTCAGTAGTGCCAGCGAAGATGAGTTAGCCAGCTTGGAAGGAACTGGAGAAGGATCAGGCAAGTCTACATCTGGAAGGTAAGTCATCTACTGGTTGAACTGTGATGATAGTCTGTAACACTACTTGCATTATTCTTTTGCTGGTTAATCTTCACATTGGAACACAACTATTTTGTGAAGGACGTGTCAGTAAAAATGACCTTGCAGATTTTAATCCTTATGTAGTTTAAGTTCGAAGGCTATATTATGTTGCAATATAAGAGCTTGAAATGTGACAGGTTTTCTCACATGCTCTTGATGCTTAGTTGGCTTAAAGTTGTCGGCTTCTAAGTCTTTTTAAGGTTTTGTTTTCCTAGACATGCTTGCAAAATATGGTCAAATTTTTCAAAGATTTCCTTCTTCATGGACCATGAGTAATCTGATCCATTGTCGGCTTTCTTTTTGCTATCTTCACCTTTACTTTTAAGTCTTGCTTCTCACTTCTCTCCTGTTTTTCTGCTGATTGATGATACATAAAAATGTATTTAATGGTTCAAGTTACTTCATTCTCATAAAATTAACTCTGGATTCCAGGATTACACCTGTTTGTGAGCACGTATCTATGGGTTCAGATAACTACGGAAATTCCGAGTTCTCTGATGCAGATGAGCGACACCACCAAGAGGGGACCTACTGTAATGTTGATCAAACCTCAGGAGCAATTAGATCTTCTCATGATGCAAATAAAAGCAGTGAGAGAGACATATCTGATCCAAGACAACCTATAAAGTTGCAAGAACCACTGCATGGTGGAGGCAGAGAGCATAGCCCAGGTTCATCTTGTTGTTCTCTAAGTCATGGTGGCACATCTGGAGATGGGACTTTTCTTGACTTAGAGAAATCTCATGATCATCATACAAGGTTATTATCGAACACAGAATCTGAGTTACGGGAGAAGGGTACAATTGATTACCTGCCAATTTATGGAACCAATCATAACAGAACAAAGTCTGGTGATCCTAAATATTTTACACGAGGTAGAAGGTCTGTGCAAAGAGATCTGCTGCATGACAGAAGAAGACCTGGTCGAATGAGTGAAACAATTCCTGCTCACCTGAAAGATGAGGATTCCCACAAATCAGATACTAGGTTACTGTATGAAAGGCGTAATTCAACTGTGATCCGATACAGACAGAGAGATAGACGATATGCTTTTGACTCTCATGAAAGGGAAGATACATTACATTTTAAGAGGGCAGAACCCGTTTACTCTAATGCAGGACGATTTTCTGATTATCCATGCCGGGATTCTTTTACAAAAAATCCTGAGATGGAACATCAGTTAAGATGTAAATATGACAAAAACTGGTCTGGCGGTCGAAGCGTGAAAAGAAAGCTAGATCCTCTTGAAATATCAATTTATACAGATGATGAATTGTTGGAAAGAGATAGACCCCATTATGGGAGAAGACTCACTGTTCAGGATATGGACACCGTTCCTTTTCATGAATCGGAACAATGGATCGATAAGTATATTTCCTATTCAGATGATGAGAATCCCAGTCAACGAATGCGGAAAATAGATCAGCTGCCGAGTAAGAAGAGAGTGAGGACTGATGATCTTGTAACTGAATGTAATTACATCTACGATATCATGGAAGAGACTGATAACAGATATAGACCATACAACCACAGGGATACTAATATTCTAGAAGATGGCTATCATGTAAATTTGACTTATTTCAGAAGAGAAATTAAAAGCCCCAGTAGGGGCAAAAGGAGAGATGTCAGTCCTTGCAAAAGTTCAAATGATATATGTTTCATGGATCTAAAGGATGAGGAAGGGAGATTTGATGGGTATCGACCTCCATCCTTTCGTTTGTATAGAGAATCTTGTACTTCTAGCAGAAGGTGGCAGAGCCCTGAACTGCCACGTGGCAGACACGGAATATTCAGTGGGACTAGGAAATGTGATGGTGGTGCTAATTTGACCAACTCCATTGGTTCCGATCAGGCGAGCAAGTATCCTGGTAATCAGGACAATTTTAAAAGAAGAAGAGGGGGCCGGCAGTCTGAAGGGATGCAATGGGTTAAAGATGAAAACAGTTCTAGGTATCAGCAAAATATATTCGATGCTGAAAGGACGTCATATTCGTTCAGAAGAAGTTCAAGTGGCCGAAGGTTTAATTCATTTGACAATAATCATGGACCCAACCCTGTAGAAAAACTTTTAGATGATAGGCATGTGGAGCCGGAAAAATGCAAATTGATCAGGGAAGGCAATAATGCCAGTCAATTTGGTCAAGGGTCTAAAGTTTTTCATAAAGATAATCATTGGAGGAGATTCCCAAGAGGGAGAGATTCTGTTGACACGGGCTTGATTGTTGAGAACGGAGAGGTAATTTTGTGTATACAAATGTCAAGATTGTATAGTCTATATGTAAATATGAGTTTTCCATATATGTTGGGTCCTGTTCCATTGTGTGATATCATCTCATGCTACCAAGGTCTCCTATTTCCCTGTGCGTTTGATTTCAGATTAAAGTTCTCATGTTGCCTTGTTTTTTTTTTTAAAAAAAATTGTTCTTGAATTGACCCTTAAAAAATTGCACTTGTCAACTCCAAAATTATATTAAGCTTGCTATTCTAGGAATTCTTATATTATTACCTTTAAGCAATTGATCATCAGTATTCTCTAGTCACTTATGAAACCATATAAATCTGTTGGTGACCATTTATTCGTTTATTTCTTGATCCTACAAATGTGCATCAACATTGTTACTGACAGTCCTCTATATGTTAACGAGAAAAGAGTGTTTGCTTAAGGGACATGTTACCATTTTGTAGCTCCAGTTGGTGTTAGTCTTTTGTCACTTGAAGTACATTAGATATCTAATGTGATAGCACTTTTGCAAAAAATAAGAGAGGACTCCGAAGTTCATTGTCTTTGTGTAGTTATATAGGTAATCTTCTGCAACAGGAATAAGCAAGTAAACTTTTTCTATATACTGCAATTTTAATATCAGTAAAGCAGATCTCAGTAAACTAGGCAGAAAACACACCAAATTGTATTACTGGAGTATCACTAAATTGTAATCATGATGAGGCTTACTTATTCTTCTAACTCACGAGATCTCATTTAACACAAATAGTTTCTATTTTTGTGTTGAAATGGGCTGTCAATCTTTTTTCTCGAGTCTGATAGCTTGATATGTCACTAGCGCAATGTTTCTGCATGACTTCATTGATTGTTCTTTTATCTTAAATTGAGCAATAGTTTTGGAGGTAAGTTGCCTTTGGTAGCCGGCATTGGCATAAAACTGTGTTTTACTTTTACTATCAGCGTCAAACTACATGTCCTGACTTTTTGGATATTAACCATCATAAAATTGTGCTTAGTGCTTACACAAGGACTTTACATGATTCAACATTCTAGCAAATCTTATATTCTTTCTTGGCATATGCTTTTGTATGTTGGATACCTTCAGTTTTTAATAAAGTATTATATTTGCTTTCATTTATTCTTCAATACAACTTTTTTTGAATATGATGACTTCAAGTCGTGTTCAAGAATGTGAGCTGGGAAGTGAAATAAGAAAAAGGAGATCGCTACACCACTGAAGTTGCTGTCCTAATGCATGCTCCTTTTATGTGTCGGGACAACTTTGCATCTTTATTGGAAATGATAATTTTAGCTGGACAGATAATCTATATTCAATTTTTGAGGGGCCATATTAGGTGTTGCTCCTGCTTGAACTTGGACTAGAATGAAGTCTTGTTTTTCTCTTATCAATGGGAGGGGGTGTTCAATGTTTCGATATGTAGTGCTTGGGATCTTAAGTAGATAAGAACTAATTAAAAATACTGATATTCTGTGTGAGCTCATGACAATTTAACATCATATCTTGGAAGTATTTTTTACTTCTGATAATCCGTTTAGTACAGATGATGCGGTGCTTTTGGTAGAAAACTATGTCTTTTTGTAAGGTTCTCTACGTTTCTCCCCATCTTTTTAATAGAATTGCTACCTCCATTATCAAAATAATAAAAAAGAACTAGAGTTAAGTATGCTGTTTCTAGATTTTAGAATCCACACTTTACTTTCTTCAGCTCTGTTTGAGGTAAGATCCGACCCTTGCCTTGGTGGTGTCAAAGTTTAAAAAAACAACAACTAATAATCATAGAAAAAGGAATCAGATGTGGAGAAAACTTTAACTGCATATTTTGTTTCGCAATTATAGTGTTTTACTTCTGCTTCAAGAGCCATTTCTTTTTCATCAATTTTATGATACATTGGTCTCTCTGATATTTATTTTTATGTTGATATACCATGACAGCATTATAAAGCTTTGTTATTATCCTTGTTCTTAACACATTCCTATGTTTTAAATTTCTTCTTGGCTGCACTTTATTGGTAAACAAAAGCATGATGGTCTGCTTCGGAAAGTCATCTTGATTAGCACGTATGCTAATTCCTTTTATCCTTCAGCTCCAGTTATAATTTATTACAAACGCATATAGCCATTGACTATATAGCTCTCTTCTGTTTAACTATTTAAGTTCATCCCCTTTCAAAGTTTCAAGCTTGTGAGTACTTGGTATGATAGTTATGCCTTTAACAGTTAACAAGTTCTCTAATTCTCTTCATGGTAAGTTTTTGTGTCACGTGAGCTCACGCACGATAAGGCGGCCTCTCTTCATTAATTGTGTAAACTATCAGGATTTTGATTTTTGTTTGTGACCATGGATCTGCAGTCCTCCGGAAGATGCTCCAAAGCAGGGGGTGTAACATCCTTTGACAGGTATGGCCACTTGGATTCAGATAGTTATGTGGAGCTGAAGCCCATCGATGGAACTAGCAAACCCCATTTCAGGAAGACACTCGGAACACGAAATGTGACGACTGATCCTAAAGAAAATGATAAAGGAAGGCTTGATATATTCTCAGATGCCGACCAGGAAGAGTCTCTGGATATTGAAGAAGGTCAGATAATTGAAGAAATGAACGAGAAAATCATTAAAAAGAGAATTACATGTTCTGGCAAATCACAAATCAGTGAAATGAAGAATTTCGCGTATGATAAAAATGTGGAGGGACAGGACAACAACCCTATGATTTTGGAGATCATGGCAAAGATGGAAAAGCGTGGAGAACGTTTCAAGCAACCTATTGCTCTCAAAAGTGATACAAAGAATGTCTCTAAGCCTCTGGTTGATTCGTTTGCTGTGTCAACTGAACCTATGCAACCAAGACCAGCACGAAAGAGGAGATGGGCTGCAAGCAAGGCAACTGTTTAATGCTTATATTAGAGAAGCTGCGTCTCACTTCACCTTCATAACTGGATCTGTATATAGTTGCGTTTGATTGAAGAAATGGTTGCTGCTGGTATAACTGGGGGCCGGGGTTGAGAAGTTTCCCATGAAAAGAGGGAAAAAGAAATCACAGTCTCATAAAGAATACTCTCTGTTTTGTTGCGCTAAATGCGTTTTTTTTCCTCTGAAGTATAATTGATTATTTTGATTTCAAAGGATGTAAGGCTACCAGTGATGATGGTATGGCTTGAGCTTTTATTTAGTCAACTTTATTCCCATTTGGTACAAGCTTTATTCTTGAGAAATCATGGTGTCTGCCATGTATAATTTCTCAGTTAAGTTTAATAATTTTTTCTTATTAGTTCCTTGATATGTTTCAGAAGCAGTGGTTTGGAAGCAATTATCCTGTTTGATTATATGGATCTACAAGTTCAAGTTGCAGGCTTGTCTGAGATATTTTGCTTCAATAAGGTAGTATGGCGTAACGTTAGGGACGGAGTTAGGAGGTTGCAAGGGGTTCATCCAAATCCCTATCGTTGGTAATTACATTGTATATAATCAAATTAATACTAATTGTTTATCTATCTATATCTATATTACCTTAAAAGCATGAACTTCTAACTTGAATGTTAAATTACTAAAATATTCGTAACTTAGGTTGTGATTTTTTTAATGAGTTATGACTTTTTCGATAACTAGTGGAACAAAAATGCGCCACGAATTCACATAACAAACGTTGCTAAAAGTTAATATTCGTGGCAACTAAAACTGTCACTAAATTATATAACGATTACTGCTAAAAGATTGTATTAATGGCAACTAAAACAGCCACTAAATCATTAAACTATTGCCACTAAAAGATAGTGTTAGTGGCAACTAAAACAGCCACTAAATCATTAAACTATTGCCGCTAAAAGATAATGTTAGTGGCAACTAAAACAGCCACTAAATCATTAAACTATTGCCGCTAAAAGATAGTATTACTAGCAGCTAAAACCGCCACTAAATCATTAAACTATCATCACTAAAAGATAGTATTAGTGGCAACTAAAACCATCACTAAACCATATTAGAGTTGCCGGGAATAAAGTATTAGTGGCAACTAAAACAACTAAAACAACCAAAAAAATCATATAAAGTCGCCACAAAAAGAAAGTATTAGTGGCAACAAAAACCGCCACAAATCATATAAGTGTCGCTAAAAGTCCGTATTAGTGACAACTACTACTGCCACTAATCATACAAGAGTCGCCGCAAAAAGAAAGTATTAGTGGCAGCAAAAGCCGCCACGAATTCCAATTAAAGTCGCCGCTAAAGATTTGTTTTAGCGGCAACTTAATCCGCCACAAAATCAAATAACAGTTGCCGCTAAAAGTCAGTATTCGTGGCAACAAAAACTGCCACTAATTCCTATTAAAGTCGCCACTAAAAGATTGTTTTAGCGGCAACTAAATCCGCCACTAATAAAATAACAGTTGCTGCTAAAAGGTAGTATTATTGGCAATTTAAACCGCCGCTACAAGATAGTATTAGTGGCAACTAAAACCGCCACTAAATCAGATGGGAGTCGCCGCAAAAGAAAGTATTTGTGGCAACAAAAACCGCCACTAATTCCTATTAAAGTCGCCGCTAAAAGTTTGTTTTAGTGGCAACTAAATCCGCCATTAATAAATAAACAGGTCGCCGCAAAAAGAAGGTATTAGTGGCAACAAAATCCGCCACCAAATCAATTAACAGTTGCCGCTAAAAGATAGCATTAGTGCCAACTAAAACCGCCGCTAAATCATATAAGAATCAGTGCAAAAAGAAAGTATTACTGGCAACAAAATCTGCCACTAAATCAAATTACAGTTGTCGCTAAAAGATAGTCTTAGTGTTTACAAAAACTACTAATTCCTAAAAAGACGCCGCTAAAAATTTGTTTTAGCAGCAACTAAATCCGCTATTAATAAGAATAATTGTTGCCGCTAAAAGATAATATTAGGCAACTAAAACCGCCACTAAATCATGTCTGAGTCGCCGCAAAAAGAAAGTATTAGTGGCAACTAAAACCGCCACTAAATCAGATTACAATTGCCACATAGTATTAGTGGCAACAAAAACTGTCACAGTAAGTACAACATAAACCGCCACTAAATAATATAATAGTCGCCGCTTAAAGATGTATTAGTGGCAGCGAAACCGCCGCAATCATATAAGATGCTGCTAAAAGTAAGTGTTATTGGCAACAAAATCTGCCACGAAAAGTTTGTTTTACCGGCAACTAAATCCGCCACTAAATCAAATAACAGTTGCCGCTAAAAGATAGCACTAGTAACTAGTGTATAGTATATGTCGAGTCTGCTCCACTTGTTCGTGTATTTACTTCTCTAAAAGTAGCTAATGTTGTAATACAACAAAGAACAATTGGTTTGGTCAATTGATTACATAGCCTTTCCATCGTTTTACAAAGAGATTTTTAATCACATAAAATAATTTTTCAAGAAGCTATGTCAAGCTATTTCCTCTATCTGAATATGTCTAATAGATAGATTTATTTACTAGTGTAATGTAGCCATTTTGGGACCAAACCTACTTTGGTATATTCTTGGGTCATATCAATCACATTTTAACAAAGCCATGGATAGAAAATTAATTCGATTTGATCTGAATAATCCTGACCAAAACCAAAATTGTTTATCTAAGTAAATCAAAGGTAAACATGAGTAGGAGTTCAACTACACCATAGAAACTGGCAATTGCATTTAAAGTGTTTGTTTTTAAGCTTCTGGCAAAAAAGATGAGCGGGCTGTGGTCTTAGTCGCTTCTCCTCCTATTGCTTGTGGGAGCGGGGGGTTGCTCTGAGAGGATTTTCAAAACATTCACCAATGCCCGTAAACGATCCCAGATGTTCAAACCATAAAGAGTGTGCACCAGAGACTCTTGGAACTCGAATCCATTCTCAGCAATAGGATACTGCAAAAAGATGGGAGTAAAATTTACTTATATGATATGAAATGTATGAATGACAGCATGGTTTCAGTAGATGAGCAACTCACCTGAATAGGCTTTGGTATCTTGGTTTTAATAAATGGCCACCACCGGTCCTCCACAACCGACTTTACAAGACAGCAAGCTCGTAATCCTTCAATACCAGCAAATCTTCCAAATCCACTGTCTTTGACTCCACCAAATGGCAAGGACTGCATATCATTATTCAGGAGAAAATGTTAAAAGGGTCTATTTTAAAAAGAGACGTGAAAGAAAGGGGTGCTGGGGAGGACAAAAGGCGTTGGACTGAAAAGCTGGAAGTTCCAAAATTCTAAACAAAAGAGGGTTGTAAGAGGATAAACAATGTTGGACAAAGCAACTACAACAACATACAGAGTGGAATCCCACACAATGGGGTAGGGGGAGGGTAGAGTGTACACAGACCTTACCTCCACCTCAGAGGTAGAGGGGTTGTTTCCGATAGACAAAGCAATTGTTTAACGTAAAGAACTAATGGTCTTTTGAGGTAGTTGGCCTTCAGAAGAGAGATTTCAAGGTACATGGCAAAGCTTCAGGACCAATAACAGGCGCAGGAAGGTCATGAGCATCAGGAGTTGAGAATGGGACTATGGGAGTGAGTCATGAGTGGAAAGGTAGGGTAACTTTTGATAGTGTTTTACAACAGTTACTTCTGCTGTAGAAGAGAGAAGGTAAGGAAGCTAATTTCTAGCTCATCAAATTTGCAAATGCGGACATTTAAAGGCAGAAAGACGATCTTTTTTGTTCTCCTTTGATGTAATAATTAGACCATGTGAGATCTGTAAATTTCAAGCAGATGCAACAGGGTATTTTCTTGAGGTTCACAAAATTCTCTCCTAATTTGTATGCATACCTCAAACATCATAGCAAATAGTCACATATAAGTAAGCCAAACTCTTTGATAAAATGTTTCAAGAGCCTAATGCCTACAGGTACCTGACACATGTAATTTGATGCGAAGTCATTGATAGCAGCCCCTCCACAATGTAATTGTGAAGCTATATGCCTAGCACGACGCTGACTGCCTGAAAATACAGCACAACCAAGCCCATAGCTTGAATCATTTGCAAGCTGAACAACTTCTTCGTCAGAGCTGAATTTCATTATCGGCAATATTGGTCCAAAAGCCTGCAAGCAAATTGCCATATGGAGTTAACCATATCACCTTCATCTCAGTAGTAACTAAAAAGATAATCTATCAACTGATGATACCTCCTCCTGCATCAGTTTCATTGTGTGATTCACATTAACAACCACAGTAGGAGGGAAGTACTGATCAACAGCACCTTCGCCAATATTGCCTACACTTCCTCGAGCAACAATTTCAGCACCTTTGTCTAGGGCATCATTTACTAGGTATTGAAGCCTTTCAGAATGCTCTTGCATGCATATGGCTCCCATGTCATACTTGCCGGACAAAGGAGGTCCCTACAATAAAAAGAAATTCAGTTTAAATATATAAGTATTTTAGAAATCAGACTACGCTAGCAAAATCACAAATTTCAAAGCCTAGGATTCAGGCAATCATTGTGTATTTATCTCTCAATTCTAGGCAAACTAATGCTTCTACGGCTCACAATTATTAGCAAACCAGAATTTAGATAGGATCAGTGAGCAATCTAACTAAGAAACCAAAAAGGCACCATGTGCAAAATGCTATGTTTCATGAAAGAATAAAGATCTTATAATGCATTGAGTTGAAAATATGACACAAATGAGAAAAGTTACATACAGCAGTAACCGATTTCACAATTTTGACAACTTCAGCAACAAAAGAAGAGTAAACATCCTTGTGAACATAAAAGCGTTCTGCACCAGCACAATTCTGCCCACTTGATTGGAGAGCTCCTCTAGCAGCAATTTGTGCAACCTGCATCAAATTTGATTAGTTCTTTTAAAGACTCATGAGAAACAGATAGAGATGAATGATCTTCTTTCTTTAACTTCTCATAGAGATATTAAATGATTTTCCAATCATAGTTGAAAAGCAAACAAATGTACTTGACACCCAAAATGAAAGCAGACAGG